GGTTCTAAATAGTCATGACAGTGCAACTATAGATACTCACGAAAGAGGACCTCCAGAACTGCTTCAGAAAGTGCCAACATCTATAGGATAAGTGAGTTCAAAGCAAGAGGGAGCAATCTGAGGGAGATTAATAGCAATGTGTCTTTACTATAATAAAATATTCTAAAATTTAAACATTCAGTTAGGCCTGGTGCCACATGCCTATAATCCCAGCACTTGGAAGGCTGAGGCAGGAGGATCACTGTGAGTTCAATGCCAGCCTAGGCTACAAAGTGAGCTCAAGGCCCTGCTGAGCCGCATAGTGAAACCTTGTCTCAAAAAGCCAAAAAACAAAACAAAAATGTAAACATTCATTGTATTTTTCAATCATACCGCACAATGTAACAAGAACACTGCTGCCTGATTGTTATCATCTTCATGACAAAGTGGCTTTCTACATGATACAGTAAAAATAGCAATGTGTAAAGACTGAGCAAAAAATTGAAGCTTAAGCTCCAGTTCTGCTACAATGGAACTACATGCTTTGTGCAAGTGACTACATTTGACACCATTTTCCACCTCTGTAAAATCGGCAGATGGCCTTCTCCGAGGCCTGAGGGTCAGGAGAAGCAGGAGGAAGGGACTATGTCTCCTCCCGGGCCTTTTCTCCTTACTCCTAGCTCTTCTGAAATTTACAAAGTGGAGATTCCTAACCAGACTTTCTTCTTTCTTTCTTCTTGACTTTTTTCCCTGCTGAGCTTTCGGAGGGTGCCCTGTGAGGAAGGAGTCAACACAACGTCCGGCTCTGGCCTGATGCCACAGGCAATGAAGATCTTGCATGTGTGGGCCAAGGTTCACTGTGCTGATTGACTTTTATGCAGAAAGGGTGGCACACATGTACACACGTACACACACACACACACACACACACACACACACAGGCAACCGTAGCCAGAGTTCTCACCACTGGATGCTCATACACGTATCTGTTTATTCACGCAAACTGTCTTGTTCTCTCTTTGAGAAGGCCTTAAAGCAATGACACCTAAAGAGCAACGCCTGCCTCTGGTGACCAGATGTATTTACTTTTTTTTCTAAATAGTACTCTCCACTTAAAAACACAAAACCAAAAACAAAGTTCCTTGCAGAAAATGACTGACTCAAGGTTAGAATGAGGAGACGCCAGAGAAGCCCGGCACCTCCTGTGCCAGGAAGCAAGGAAGTGCTCAGGGATGATGCCAAAGGGGCCAAGTCAACAGAAGGAAACGTGACATCAGAACAAAGACTTTGGCGTCAGGATAATCAATTTAAAAAGAGAATTGAAGAAAAAAGCAGAAAGACAGCTTTGGCAAATGGGAAGGGGAACAAGAGTTGGAGGGGGAGCGAGGGAGGAGGGGCGAAGGGGGACAAAAAAAGAAGTAAGACGTGTTAGGTACATGTACAGACTTGCTACAATAAGCACAATTGTTCTGAAATGCAAACGTGTAAGAAGAGAAACTAATAATAAAAAGAACTCAGAAAAAGTAATGTTTTAAGCTCCAGTTACAGGAATCTGTAGTGACATAAACAAATAAGTGAGCAAAAATACATGAAAGATGTAAAAGCAAGCTCTGTCGTGCAACTGAATTCCAATTATAAACTTAGAGTGATCGCATTAGAAAATTGTCAGCTGGAACCCCTCATCCTAATAACAGATGTAGGCAAGAATCCTGCATGAAAGCAAAATCTGGTAGGTGTGATTAGGAGCAGGGTATTCGTACAGCGTCAGCGCTTCCCCCCACAAAGCTCATTCATTGTTCATGAACCGTAACATAGTTTTAACATTTGTTATAACTACATTAATGTAACATATCAATAACATTTGTTATTAATTAATCTTAAACAGAAAAACCTGGCAGGCACAGCTTAATAAAGAGATGGAAGAAGTATCACAGTCAAGGGATAAACTGAGACTAGATGATTCCTGAGGAGATTCATGGAGAGCACAGGGCACCCCCTCTCTGGCGTTCCACAGAGGCTCATAAGCTAGGACAACACAAGACAAAAAAGCCCAGAGAGGGAAACTACGGAGTAACCAGTCTGTGTTCTTCAATTACGTCACAGGATGAAAGTTGAGGAAAGACTAAAGAGCTATCCCAGAGGGAATGAAACTAAAAAGATGCGACATCTAAAACCAAGAACAGCCTTGGATCAGATCCGAGACCTAAAATAAAAGTGGTCTGGACAAGTGGTGTAGTGTGAACGTGGTCGATGAACAAGACGGTATTTAAGACTTTGTATACTGCAGCACTGGCCCCTAGTACTTCAGAATAAATGAGGTGATCATGGTGGGACATTGTTTGAAAGGGATCAGTTTCTTCACAAGAAAAGACACCAAGAATATTGCTCACTCCTCTCAGGCATGAGAGTACACAAGATGTCAGAAGGAGAGCCCCACCAGGAACAGAATCTGCCAGCACCTTGATCTCAGATGTCTCAGCTTCCGGAAAGGTGAGCACTAATTCTCTTTTGTTTAAGCAAAGCAGCCTGGGTATTTGGTCATGGCAGTCTAAGGCGATCACACAGGGTAATAATAGTAATCGATTACTAACTTCTATCAACTTTCTGATTTTGATGCCTATATTGTCATTAGAATGGGGAAGAGTATCATCAAAGGGCGCCAAAATCTCTCAAACTCAAGAATCTAGGTGGTGTAGGAAATCTGTGTGTTATTTCTGTGACTTTTACGTAAATTTGAAAATCGTTATTAAGAAAAAATTGATGATTAAAACTAAATAATTGGGCCGGCAACATAGCTCAGGGGACTACAGCGCCTGCTTAGGCAAGCTTAGGCAGGCTCAGGGGACTACAGTTCCATCCCAGCATGACATGCCTCACCAGCCCCACCCTCAGGGCAGACTGAGCTGGCCAAAAAAATAATAAAAATTAAAAAATTAAACTACATGATATTCTAACCACAAAATTCCCAAGAGAAATACCAAAACATTTTAATTATCATCTAGAAATATTTTACAGACATGAATTGTCATTTTATACAATATTACGATTATATGATACATTTTTTTTTTTTATTAAAGGAGAAAGCTACAAAGACCACTGCCCCTGTATTGTTATCAACACTATGGTATCTCAGGGAGGAACAGCTGCGTTTGCAATTACAACAAAAAGAGTAAACTATTAGAAAGTCAAAACAAAAATAGCGCTACTGGCATATTTATCCAGCTGCATACCTAAAGCTGCATGGAAAAGGTACCTGGAAGAAAAAGCGGTCAGACAAAATTCATGTTGGCTTCAAGGATATGAAACAGGATGTAAGTGCGTGCCGTAAGAAAACTCAGAGATGGGCAATCGTGTCCTCAGAGACCTGACAACTTGTATGAAGAACCAAGGAACATTTTCAAACACTATCATAACGCAACCTATATAAATCCAGAGTAAAAAGGAGCCCGAAATATTTGTATTGCTTTTGCAATTTTGTGGCTCTGTCGTAAGTTAATCAGTTATTTGTTCAAGGTGACGGTCATCGCTTACCCGATATTACAGTGACCTCTTAGCCCTTCCACTTCCATTCTCAACCCAGCCCATCCCTTAATCCATTCTCACTCAATAACCAGTATCTTTTGCTCAGTGTACATGTAATCAGATCGAGCACTGCTGTGCTTCAAATACTGTCCAAGCTTCCCTGGACATGGCTTGAAAGGCTGCGCATTCTCTCGCCTCTGTTCTGACCCACTTCCTTTGGCAGCTCCCGCTGCCCACTATTCTGGGAAGAAGCTGGCCTCCTTTCCTTCTCTACGCAGATTCCTGCTTCTGGGCTTTTGTATCTGCAATTGTCACCGCATACGGAGGTCCTCATCACGGTTGAGAAGTGGGCTCAAATATCACCTCTTTAGTTAGACCTTACTTTCACCTCTCCAGCAAGACCAAAGCTGCTACTGCTCCTCCTCCCCCTAGACGATGTTCAGCCCGTCCACTGTCCTCACTGCACTGACGGTTTCTCTGAAATTCTCTTAGGTGTCTGTTACTTGATTTTTCTCCTGAACTCAGTAAAACGCACGCTCCGTAGGAGAGGTGACCGCAATAACCCCAGGAGCCTGAAAAGTGCCTGGCCCACATGAAGAGCATAATAAACACACGTTGGAAGAGGGGCTCTCAGGACTGCACTTCTCCTCACCCGGGAAGGGAAGATAACGTGTTGTTGCCCTTAGAAGAAGCACAAACCTTTTCACAATTCTTACTACGCCTCTGGCACTGTAAAAATCACTTTTTAATGCATACTGTCATCAATGTTACGACTGTCATTTTATAAATAAGGCCCACTAGGGTAGTTTCTAGAAAGATGCTCCCTTCTATGGCAGCAAAATCCGCTATGCCACCTACCCCCTGCCCCAGTTCTACTTTGTCCTTGCAAAATATTATAAGCCTGTTGGGGTTTTCCCCCAAGATGGACATATTCGTCTTCTTCAGCTCTTTCTTAAGTGACCCTCAAACCCTGGTCACTGTCTTCTGAACAAACTTCAATGCTCCAGGTCTCTCCAGACGTGCTTTTCATGGGGCAAGGGTTTCTAGGGCGTGAGAGGAGTGGAAGGTCTGGGTCCGAGGAAAGGCAGGTGCCCAGGGTTGGAGAAGTTAACCCAGGAGGGCTTCCGGACAGAGGCGATTCCTGAGCAAAAGAGGGTGGGGAGGAACCAAGCCAGGAACTCCATGGACAAGTCCCACGGGACATCTGCCTGTGGGGCTGCTAGATCGAGACAAAGGATGATACTTGGAAGACGAGGGTACAACTCAAGTGATGGCACGCTTGCAGGCGGCGGAGGGAGCCGCGTCTTTTTCCAGTACAAGAGGCAGTGGAGGGAAGCAAAGCGACAGAACAGCCAAGAAGCAAAACGCGAACTTACCCGCTCGCGGGCAAGCCGGCCTCCGTAGCCCGACTAGAAGCGTTGCTACCTGAGGAGTCCGGTAGCCAAGGCAGCAGCAAGCTCTACGCAGATCACGCGAGACGTAGCAGACCTCGCGAGAGCTGAACTCTCGTCCCTGACAGGCGGGCGTTCAGTCCCGGGGTCATGGGAGGAGGGCTCTGGGGTCCGAGATGGACGTGCGCTGCTCTCTGTGGCTGGCGTCGGAGCCACCCTGGCTTGACGGCAGGGGTTGCGGAGCGGATAGAACATTTTCTTCGGCTGGGACGGAGGGGGCCGGGAGCTGCCGAGAGGGGACTGAGGAGGCTTGGGACGTGGAGGCGCCCGAGCCTGGCGCGGGGTCCGAGCGCGGGGCCGCAGTGGCGGCCGAAGGGCACGAACCCTTTCACGCGTGCGCAGGAGGAGGACTGGCGGCGGCGGAACAAGACGGTGCTCACGTACGTGGCCGCGGCCGCCGTGGGCATGCTGGGGGCGTCCTACGCCGCCGTGCCCCTGTATCGGCTCTATTGCCAGGTAGGCGGCCGCCCTCGGCAGGGGTGAGGTGCTGGTGGACCGACCCAGACGCGCGCCCCTGGAAGGGGTGCCCCCGCTCATTCCGCAGGAGGAGGCGGGCTCAAACTGAGAGTTGCCCCAGGTCATCGGAAAAGTGAGTGGGGAGGCTGCGGGGGAGGGAGGGCGGATCCCTAGGTCCCCGAGGAGTGATGGGTTTGCACCCCGCTGCGTTGGGAGATTCCCGGATGTGAGCTGCACACCCCCCGTCGAGGAGGTCTGCTGCCGGACTGACACCGGACAGTCATTCCGCGAGCCCCTGTGGTTGGTGTGGAAGTTAGCCCTGGATACGGGGCTCTGCCACGACGTAGGCTGCAGGGAGTAGCCTGGGGTGGGACGTTTCATCCAGAGGCATGAATTAGACTGTTCCTGTTAATAAGTAACTATTACGTGCTTACATTGGGCTTTTAGGTCACAAGTTGCAGTGCAACAGTTGCAGACCAGCGTCATCAACATGACCTAAATTAAAGAAAGTGAATTCAGATTCCTGGGTTCAGCTCAGGGCCTTTTTAAGTCTCCTAATGTATTTATGTGGAATGTGCAGTAACTGGGTTTGAGGAAGATGAGTGTGGAATGTGAATTTGGTTGTTTTTTTTTTTTTTAATTTTATTTATTTATTTATTTATTAGAGAGAGAGAGAGAGAGAGAGAGTGGTGTGTGTGTGTGGCCAGCTCAGCCCACCAGGGGGCGGGGCTGGCTGGCATGTGGTGCTGGGGGATCGAACCGCGGTCCCTGATGCTTTGCTAAGCTTGTTCTAAGTAGGTGCTTTAGACCACTGAGCCATCTCTCCAGCCCCTTGGTTTTGTTTTGAGACCAGACAGGACCAACAGTACACTCCAGAACTACTTGCTGGTTGGATTGTAGGTAGGACTGAATCCAAATTTAAGTGTAGATCCCACGCAAACCACATGGGCTGGAAGGGAGTGACTTGTCCCGCAGGAAACCTTTCCCAGTGCTGGAAGGCAGTTTGGGTTGACCCAGCCTAGGAAAACAGACTTAAAGTGTTACTGGCACTAGAGGGAAGGAATGCTGCTTAGTATCAGCGCTGCAAAGGATACGCCCACCCTCCAAAATATCAGTACTGCTGAGGCTGAGAAACCTTGCTCCAAACTGTAAGTGGCGATATCATACATGTGTTCTTGTGTATGTTTCCACATTGCAATTGCCGGGCAGAATGTTATGAAAAACAATGTTAACTTTAGTTCTAAAAATCAAACTGGATGCTTTAACAGCAATATTTGCAGAAGAACAAACCACTTCATGCAGTGACTCATTTTATGAACTTGTAAAATGTAACTCAAAACATGTAAAATTCATCCATTCAGTGGTCCAGAGCAATGCAATTTTTTATTTTTTTTCCTTCTTTGGTCTACTTTACTTTTTTTTATGCTTTAATTTCTTGAAGCACTTATATCAAGGAAACTTGAGAGAGAACAGTTACAAATTTTGTTATTTGAGGGGCTCAAATTCTTTAGGAAAAGGAATTATACCTTAAAATGCACACGTTGTGTCCTTCTTAGGTAAAGGTATAGTTGTCTGTTAAATAAGGATGAAGATTTGCTTTCTGCATCTTTTGCAGTTACACTATGATTCAGTAACATTCATTGCATGGCAGTTGAGTGAAGCAGGGTGATTTATGCAAAAGAAAGACAATTACACTAGTTTATTGGGTGTCTTCCCTAGTTTCAATTTCTTTTTTTTTTTTTAACCCCTTGTAGCATGATAACAGGTAAGTTATCTTGAAATTAAAACTGACACCCTCTACCATCAATGAATGGCTTTAGAAGGACATTTTTGAAATGATAAATAATAGCAATGGAGGTAAACATGAAGTGTCAGGCACAAATTACTAGGTTGACTGTAATAGTAGCCAAAGGAGTTAGGTGCTCCCATTAACTAATGTAGACTATAAAATCTGCATTATGTAAAGTACATAGAACATATAAAAATATTCACCTACATAGGAAAATATTTATGCTGTTTTGGAAAAGCAAAATATCAAAGTGAAACTACAAACTAATTTGGATTATAAATGCTATGATATGGCAAAGGATCAGACAGGAACATGGAAAAGCACATATATTTAACTGTTTTTGTTGAAAAGATCAACTCATGGATAAGTTGTTGTTTTGATTCTTTCGACGGTATGGAGGATTGAACCCAGCCCCTTAATTTCTTATTTTGAAGAAGGGTCTCCTTAAGCCTCTAGGTTGCCTTTTTTATTTTGAGAAGGGGATTCACTAAGTCTGTAAGTTGCCTAGGCTGGAGTTCAACTTGGAGTGCTCCGACACTGGGATTTCAAGCACACCTTCACAACTGGCAAATTTTATCTCTTAATGAGTGATAGTTAATATTAGATACTAGCAGTAAACAGAGGTTTGTTTAATAAAAGGTATGCCTTGAAATTCTGTGTTTTCTTATCAGTGGTAAATTATCTAATGACTTTCTCCCTATTGACTAATTGGCAATTCATTTTAACCAAAAGATTGCTGAAAAGTAGGAATCACTTTAACAAATACATGCTGTTCACGTCCTGAAAGTGGGCAAGCCACTGACAGAAATGGTCAATGATAAGTGTGTAAAATTGGCTCACAACTGGATTATTTTTAAATTTTTATTGTTATGTAATAATAGATCAATGCCTAAAACTATTTTGCCATATTAAGTATGTTTTTTCTAGACTACCGGCCTTGGAGGATCAGCAGTAGCAGGTCACGGATCAGACCAGGTGGAAAACATGGTGCCTGTTAAGGACCGGATCATTAAGGTTACCTTCAATGCAGATGTACACGCCAGTCTCCAGTGGAACTTTAGACCTCAGCAATCGGAGATCTACGTGAGTGACTAAAGCCCTCATTAGAAGATGACTTGTTTCAGTGTAAAACAATTTTTGTCACAAACTGTTTCACTGATTGAAACTTAAATTTCAATATACAAATATGTGGGTAATTCTCTCTCATGAATCTTATGAATTATTCATGAATCTGTTAATGTTTTGAAGAAATTACTTTTTGGTAGTGTTCTGACGTTACAGGATGTATGTTAACCTGAGGTAAAAGGTTATCGGCTTTTAAGTTATGTGATAGTAAATGTCAGTTTGAAACAAGGAAAATATCTATTTTTGATAGCTTCCCTAATTTCTCGGTTGTTGATGATATAAGAACAGTGAAAATCACCAGAGAGAGGGCAGGGAAATGAAAAATAAAGAATTAAAATATATTACGTCCAGGAACAAATTAATGCAAGAATCAAGGTATGTCCTCTCCAAAAGGAAAAAAAAAAGAAAGAGTTTTAAAGCCTTTTAAGTAAATACTTCCCTAATATTAGATGTCACATCACACTTCAGGAAGACTAATCTGTAATTCTGACTGCAATCCTGGGAAGATTTTTATCTGAAAAACTCTCGTTAGTTGAGGATTAGCCAAGAAGTCTTAATGTCAACCCTTATTGGAAAACTCCCATAAGTTACTGTACTAGTCCAGTTTTAGTAAAGGAGCTGTGTGAGCTTTTGATGATTGATTTTATGGATTATGGTTTTGCTTATTCTAATTTCCTGGTAGTGTATAAGCATTAGCAGTGAATGAGTATAAATAACAATACTTTGGGGATGTTTTTTAAAACCTTGTTATTTCTCTCAAAGCATTAACAATTTTTGGTTAAGATTCTGTTCAGTCAGGTTTATTCTGGTTATAAATTTACACTGATCAAGGTAAGTTTAATATTAGTACCCTTTTAAAAAATAGTCATAGCTAGGCAAGGCAGCACAAACCTGGATCCCAGCACTCTGGGAGGCTCAGGCAGGATTGCCGTAGCTGGGGCGATTTTGCAACTTAGACCCTGTCTGAAAACAGGGCTCGAGATGTAGCTTAATGCCCTAGGTCCAGTCCCTACCTGCTACAGGGGAACAAAAAGGCCAATCATGACAGTTAGGTTAAAGGATTATAAAGAAGTCAGGCTTGGCCTGTATTGTGCTTGGCTTGTCCTTGGACACTTATTTTATTTTAATTTTTTTTTTTTTGGCGGAACCAGGGATTGAACTCAGTCCTTTGCACTTGCCAAGCAAGCACTTATTCTACTGAGCCATCTCCCTGGCACATTTTAAGTAACTTGCATGTTACTGCTTGAAGACTTCAGATATATGAGAGGTTCTGTTATTCTGTCCATAACAGAATACTTTGTTCATTGACATGCAGATAAAATTTGAAACTCAGGTTTGGGTAATATTCATAATTTACTTTGTTGAACTTTCTATCAGTTTAAATTATGTGTTACAGTCTGATGCATAGGAAAAATAATACGGGTTATTTAGTAGGGGAAAAAAGTGAGCTGTGTGACATTTAAAGTACTGATCATGGGTGTGCATTTAAAACAGGTGGTACCAGGAGAGACTGCACTGGCATTTTATAAAGCTAAGAATCCTACTGACAAACCAGTCATTGGAATTTCTACATACAATGTTGTACCATTTGAAGCTGGACAGTATTTTAACAAAATACAGGTAAACACAATGAACGTAAGCATTTAATGTCTCAAACTTGAAAATAAACCAAATGAAAATGGGGGAAGGATATCTAGAAACAAAGGGGAGGAATAGGGAAGGTAGGACAAAGGGAAGAAAGAATCAAGATACGTTAAGTGTTCTCACTCCCTAAGGTGAATTGCCAACTTGTACTAATAAAATGTTTTTTAAAAATATGAGTGTAAGGCTGGGCATAGTGGTGCATGCCTGTGATCCTAGCGCTCAGGAGACTGAGGCAGGAGGATCGTTTTGAGTTTGAGACCAGCCTGGGCTACAAAGTGACCTCAAGGCCAACCTGTGCTGCACAGCGAGATCCTGTCTTTAAAAAAAAAAAAAATAATACAAGATGTGTAGAATAAAACTTCTTAGAATGTTTTAGGAGATACTTAGGATTTCTGAAAATTTCTTTTCTTCTAAATTTCAAGTCACCTTTACACTCATTGTTTCTGTTTGCTATGTAGACACAGACAGCCAGGCCAAATGATTTCTGTATTAAGATTAGAATTGACTCTGTAAAGCAAGGCTCAGTCTGAGGTGAAAAGATGACATTATTCTATCCCAGAATTTAACTTCCAGAAATGAACGATTATTCTGTGACAGGCAGTAGAAATGTTACTAAACAAGTACCTTTCTGTGACTTCTAGTGTTTCTGTTTTGAAGAGCAAAGACTGAATCCCCAAGAAGAAGTAGACATGCCGGTGTTTTTCTACATTGATCCTGAATTTGCAGAAGACCCAAGAATGGTGAATGTTGATCTTATCACGCTTTCTTACACATTTTTTGAAGCAAAGGAAGGGCATAAGCTGCCAGTCCCAGGTTATAACTGAAGTAGTATCCAAGTCCTGCTTCAGATTTGTGATTTTTGAAAAATCATGTATCTTACATTCTCATTGGAGAAGTATTCTACAGTGTGAATTGAAATTTTTTAAGTAGTTCTTTTATTTCTTCCAGTGAATTTACTTCACTCAGATTTAACTTTTACCATAAGAAACAAATAAGCCTCAATAAAGCATGTGATTGTTTGATATACCTAGGAACTTAACGGTTTAAAATAAAGTTGGTGGAAACTGAACATGGAAGAGGAGTCTCTGAGCTCTAATGACTTGCTCAAA